TTAAAGTGTATTAGTGTTGGGGGATATGGATATAAAGTGTACTAGTCTTTGTATATTTAAATGTTTGTTTGTTTGTTTGTTTGTTTGTTTGTTGTTTAACGCTGCACTCAGCAATGTTCCAGCCATATGGCGGCGGCCTGTAAATAATCGAGTCTGGACCAGACAATCCAGTGATTGACATCATGAGCATCGATCCACGCAATTGGGATACGATGACATGCATCAACTGAGTCAGTGAGCCTGACCACCCGATCCCGTTAGTCGCCTTTTACGACAAGCATAGTCGCCTCTTACGGCAAGCATGGGTTGCTGAAGACCTATTCTAACCCGGATTTTCACGGGTCAGATTTAAATGTAATAGTGTAGGTAGATATATAGTGTACTAGTGTTTGTGTAAAGTAAATATAATCAAAACATATCATAGGGAGAAATCTCATTCCTCATTAGAGGTGTACTGTAGTTTGAAAAGAACTCGAAGAGTGACCTTTGATCCCAATGTGCATTTCGGGGAATACACTGATTTATGTTTTTATGTTGAGTACACAAACAGGTTTGCAGCCTTGTTGTCCATATTATCGTGGTCCAGTTGTCCATAAATCCCTCACAAATACCTCACTATATTCCTGAGTATTCATGTCAGGCGTCCTGAAATACATTGAGGATGTGGTTTGCAGATTACCTTTCGAAAATGGTATTTTTAACAAAAGAGAGATTTGTTCCGAAATTTTAGTCTTTAACATCTCAGTGTACAGAATAACTGTATCCAGTACTCAAACATATTGACATAAATCGATACATTCTAATACTGATCATTTCATATTCATTTTCCTGTTTTTTTCTCACTTTTATTCCAATTAAGAACATAAAGATAAGCCTTCTTAGATTAGAAATACTCCCGTTTCAATAGACATAGCGAATACAAAATTGATTTTGTTAGAAAGGATTGAAACTGAAAGTTATGTATGAGTGATTTCTTTGATATAAATACGACTTGGTGACATTTGACATCCAACAAAGCAGAGACCATCCCCACAACACGTTGGCAGTGGTGTCAGGTGCTGACATGGCCGGCTGGTGAAGGTATATACCGTGGGACACCTGCTGCACGTGAGCAGATGTCACGGTGTGACACGTCGGCACATGGTCAACAACATGGACTCTGGGTTTTGAGGTTAATGGTCCCAGATGATGACCTACTCTCAATAAACGAATTGTTTGGCCACATCATTTGTTTGCAAAACATTGCAATGCAATTTCATTTTATGACATCGAGGAGATATCACTTGATTTCCCAGAGATATCTCCCGTGGAAGCTGTTCTGGGTGATAAACCCGCGTCTTTACAGGACACGTCGACGCTAATGTATCAGGTCACAACTGTTGGTCAGGTGGTGGTCACCCATCCATGACCTAGTTACATTTATCGACAATTATAACCACCCAATACACATGGATACTGTTTATGGTAGGCATAAGTGCTGGGTTCGAATAACAGAGATTCAGGGAAATTTGAATACTTATGTGTTCTGTCACCCCTTACCTGTGAAAAAGGACCCGCGAAGATCCGGGTTAGTATAGATCTTCAGCAACCCATACTTGCCGTAAAAGGCAACTAACCGGATCGGGTGGTCAGGCTTGTTGACTTGGTTGATGCATGTAATCGTATCCCAATTGCGTTGATCGATGCTCATGATGTCAATCACTGGATTGTCTGGTCCAGACTCGATTATTTATAGACCGCCGTCATATAGCTGTAACATTGCTGCGTGCGGCGTTAAACAACAAACAAACAAACAAAACCTGTGAAAAAGCCATGGGTCGGGGTCCACCTGTATAAAGGGGTATTAGCAGGTCCGTATGAAAGAACAGGAATAACACAAGTCTTAGCGAATAACAATATATCTGGGATAGGGTTTAAGGAACGAAAAGTCAGGCTCGTGGTATCTGGTTTTTCATGGGTTAATTACCCCGACTCTGGCAATCTGAGTGAGAGGTTTTCACTTTGCTGTGGGGGGCACGGGTGGCCCAGTCGTCTAAGGCGCCGCGATTCGCTGTGCATAGTTGCGTCCCTTGGACACGCCAGAAACCTATGATTGTGGGTTCGAATCCCGGTTCGCCCCGATTATGTTTCTAGGTTTGTCAGCACCACACCCGTGCTCGTGGGTTTCACCGAAGTGGTAAACGTCTGAGACCTGCATCACTTCGGGCTTTCCTCCTACATTAAGCTGACACGCCGTGATATGACTGGAATACTGTTAAAAGCGGCGTTAAACCCAGCTCACTCACTTTGCTGTGAACAATATTCCAGTTATATCACGGCGCGTCATCTTCGTGTAGGAGGAAAATCCGAAGTGTTGCGGGTCGAAGACTTCTCCGACAGAAACCCGCGATCATAGCGTTCCTTGCAATCTGAAGCATTCTTGTTAATCACTAAATATAACTGAACACGTTTGCTTATACCGCAAAGAATAATGTATTTTTATATTTAGTACTAGTTCTAGTCAGTCATACAGACCCTGATACAAATATATCCAATACAGCCAATGCAAGTCTATAATGTTTGGCAAGTCTAGATTAATGCAGTATCTGAAAATGAAGAGCGTCTCTGGGCTCCTTTTTATTATATAAAGACAATTTAACAACTGTTTTTGTTCTGTAAGATATGTTTATTTTAGAGACTAGATGTTAGTCTTTACTGGTACCTTAAAGCTTCCCCTGCATAACCGCAAATACTTCTGATGAAAATCGAACTTCTCAGACAAACGTTTTCATCGAATAAATAATAAAAAAATAAAGATTCCCGGGGACATTGACCTTACGCACGAAGTACGATCTGATGCTGGTGTTGAAGTAGGAAGTTGTTTGAGATTAAACCACAGGTATTTAGGTTAGTGGGTGCAGGCCAGTCGTATACTTAAGATGTAAGGAGTCGGATAAATACTTTTTCTACTAATCTTCTTGACTAATTCCCTTGACGGACACAACAACATGTTGTCGGAACAAACTAATTAACACCTATTAGATTAAGAAATTGTAATCAACGCAGATTGAATGTAGAGTAAAAACCAAAGTGTTATGCATAGAAAATAATTCACGTACCGTTTATCTTGCGTTATGTGACGAAATAATAGATCTAACAATGTGTATGTCTCTGTAGGATATATTTTGGTAACTATTTTGCTTAGTTATTTTAACTTTCTATCACGTCAAGTGGAACCTGTTTCGGCAGATATTATAATCGTGACTGATTATTCACTGGGGTCGAAAAGTTTGAATTTACAGAATTTATGTACGTAATGAAACCGGCAATACATTTTCTTTGAATATTATATACATTTGGATTACGTGTTGGGAATGTGAAGACCAACCACGATACAGGAAAATGATTAAAATTAATAAGTTGTGATATTCCTGTAAGTGTTTTATGCTAAAGAACGAGTCAAATGGTGTTTCCATACGTGAAATACTGCAAATATGAATAATAGTGTGTTAAATTTCAGTTTTCTTTTAAATGTTAGTTATTTTATACAAATTACTTGAACTTATTTTTTTTATACCTACATAATTATAATACCCAAATAGGCAGTATATTTTAATGTACTGGTATTTTCACTTTTGATAATTAATGCTCGCAATCTAAATGACCAATTGCATTATGTTATGGGTAACGTCATCATGTTTAAACATATTTAAAATGCATTCACTTCTAGTTTTTAATAATAAAATAGCGTTCAAATGGTATTTTAAACCTCATAGAAATGATTAAATCAGTAGTTTTAGCTATTAATATCACAATTTTCACGATACTTGTATAAGCCCACGAACATGCACAATTAAAAAAATCAACACAATCTAGTATTGATGATTAGATTTACATATTCTTGTGTCGTTCCACTTTTATATCAACCAGCGAAAACCTCAATGGGCAATTTAACCTTTTCATAATATATTTCATCGTCTAGGTTACGTCTGGTCGGAGTCGGAATATATTTCACATTACTCTGGGCCTGCATTAGTAGGCAGGAGTATGATTTTTCACGGGTAACACTTGACAGCGAAGTAATGTTTTTTTCGAAATAAATCTAAATATTTGCAAAGGAAGAGCACAAGTTATGACGAAACCTTGAGAAGTTTCCCTCTTTACTTTTCACACATTTTCAACACATCTAAATACACATCTACACTATATGAAACAGTTTGTTTGTCACTTGAAAATTTAAAACAAACATTTAAATTGAACAAATGCCTTTATAAAACTCTACCTGCAACCTTAAATAAACAGCTTATCTACCATCACAGTTCTCAAGACCAGTCCCATGTTGGAACGCAAAATACCCACCATCAAACATTACTGGTCATCCTTTCTGCTCAATGCATGCAACTTTTGCACGCAATATATTGGTATCCACTGGAACGTGCACGAGCAGCACCAAGTGCGTGTATCGGTGTGCGCGCGCTGTCACTGAATGCAGGGGCACTGACAAGCATGCAGATCGTGCGCTAACGTACCGATTATGATATATCCATCACACGTGATCAGCTGTGGCATGTAATTGATTAATTAGATGCGGAGGAAGGAGAGTGACACTTACTGATAATATATTTCAAAGCTTAATCTACGTATCTGTAGTGATGGTAAGATAATACGTCGAAATGAGCGTACATGTCAAATTTTCACATTTATAAATCTTTTTAAAAGGCTATAACGAGGCGACACTGTAATAAAAAGCCTCTTTAATATTCCTTCGTTCATAGTTACCAGCTATATATATTGTTAAAATACAAATATTAAATATGAAAATGTGATCAAGTTGTTCATTTTCGTGTTATACTGAATTTAAAGACATGACATCAATGTATACTCATTAAGCGTTATAACGAGGCGTTTAACTGAAATGCTGCACCGAACGGCCACGGTGATGAGATGTTTGCGTACCGAAGCACGACAGTGTGAGAGTTGGTCGTGTGGCAAGTCGGGTCACCGCGGTGCATTGTGGGTTGACGACAACAGTCGATACCAGTGCCAAGCAACCTTGTTACCTTACGGGGAGGGAAGCGATCGACAAGGAAATGCAAATTGTGGAAGACACAGGTAGTAAAAGCACTTGTCATCTGTCAACATCAGACGTACCGAGTGAACTGCCCTAATTAACCGAGTATTTCCATAGTGTATAAACCTGTTTGTATACCTTACATCATCAATGAACTCACCTGTGCATTTATTCGTGGCATTTTACTGACATTTATCTCTGGTTTATTTAGAGTTCAATTGAAAAACATATTATATTGATTCTGTAAATGACATTCATGTGACATCTATACCAGGTGCAGGATTGACGAACACTAGATTCACAATCGACATTTTTATTCACGCGAATCAATGTGCTTAACAACGAAATACTCAACGATATTGATGTTAATGGTGTTTTTACTTTTTCATATACGAATAGCATGTTCATTATACTATCGGTATCAATACTTTTATTTCTCATAAAATGCTTGGAAATAGATTACAAAATTCGCTTCAAATATGACATTAGCATATATCAACAATATTATAATGTACATTTTTGCCATTTGCTACAGGACGAATAGGTCATATATTTTGAGTCCGATGTGCCATATTTGTCCTAAACAAATTAGTCATTTTGATAAAACTGAGTCAGCCATACTTTTACCAATAGATCTTCAATTTCCAATACTTGATTCAAATGTTCGTCCTGAACTCTTAACAGCTATTCCTGGACTCGCATATCGGAAGTACAAGCCATGGGAGGTGCGTGTGTGCTGCCCTACCTTTTTATATGAAGATCGATTGGTTAATTCTACTCCCAGGTAATCGGGATTTTGTAGCAATTTACGTGAGATGCTTTGTTTAAGAAATTGCTGCCTAGATTGTTCTGTAATGTTTAAGATTTTCTTAAGAAGGACATCACAGGAAAATGCTGAATTGCTTAGTGGTTGTTTGGTGTTTCAAAATTTAAAGGGCCTTTCGTTATCACCCGATTAAATCTTAATTAGATTCTTATCAGCAGAGAATGCCAGGCACCCGGATCAGGTGAGATGATCAATGACGCCTATCCCTCTTTGGGTTATTTCGTTCGCTGAGGACATTCGATTCCAGCGTAATATTTAATTATTTAGCCAGTAAAGTAAAAACCTTTTAACTAATTTAAAAGCATTTTTTATTTATTTGGTAACCTTTCATTTACATAAATACGTCTCTAGGGCGATTATTTTAAAATAAATGAATACGTATTGCATAGATTGTTGTCGAATTGCGAAACTAAGTGTAAATGTTAACTGTGTTGTGAGTCCATGTTATCAGGGAGTCTGTATGTATAGTCCCCCTTATGTTGTCATCGTAGGGACCAGATATGATTCTGTTTTTATGACGTGGCTGATTGTGTGTCAGCTTAACCCGATGGCGAGGATAGGTGTTCATGCTATCTGTCACTGGTTTGCTTGACCCAGACTTGATTATTTACAAGCCGGTGTGACGTAGAGGGAACAGTGATATGTGCGACGTAAAACAACATTACCGCATACTCGTGACTTAATCTCCCCGATTCAAATAAATTTTAAACGTCTACATACACACATTCGTTGCATGCAATTATAATGACATTGGTGGCAATTTCTTGAGAAATAAGGCCCTGTTATATTTCTGCAGCAACACCTTTTCGTGTTCTCCAAAGAAAATATATGCCCGCATTATTGATTTGAAACGCCTAAATGTTGATATAAGAACATATTTTTTGTAATACATACCCAAATCACCACGTTATAATTGATCATAATATTATGTTTTCTGGTGAGGCGTTAAAATAAGCCTGCGGCTTGTTTGCCAATCCAGTTTCAAATTTATTTTGGGAATAAGTATGTTTAAAACGCACTATTGAAAACAAAATGGTTTGATGAAAGTGAACACAGATTACCACTGACTGCAGGTGACTTCGACGCAAAACGATTTTTATTAATGAAATCTAATTTAAAAAATACTTTAGGACAGCGGGTCGTGGTACCTCCTAGCCTTAACATGTCAAAGGTGTGCTGTACAATTTATCTCATCGCCCAGCACCAAAAGTCGATTATCCAGCGTATCATATCTTCATTCCATTGTTGTCAATATCATAAAGATTCGAAACACTGGGTTATGGAGTCGGCAGGATCTTGGGAACTCCAGCTTTGTGGAAAGTGGTACACTATTACTCACATCATATCGAGAGGGGCAATCATATCGTCTTTACAGTATCACTAGGATAAGTCATAAGGGGTTAAGATATAGACGAGGGGGTTGAAGTACATTGTAACGTGAGACAATTTAAATACCACGTCCATAAAGACAGACCACAGTGTGAGCACCTCGATGAATGGAGGCAGTAAAACAAGCCTGCCGTTATTAGTCACCGAGACGCTCCATCAAGGGATTAAAGTATAGAAATCGGCTTTAAAACTCCATAAATACAATTAAAGGGCATATTCTTTAGCACAAGCAGTTCTTGTGAAAGCGATTTATTTTTAAAAAATGACTCTACTTCGAAGAAACCCATCAATCTATACAAAATTACGAAGACCCAAGGGAAGAATGGAACACCGGCCATCTGGACTTCATATCTCCCCGGGGTTTAAATTATATAGTTCATAATGACTTTGAAGGCTGAAACAGTATGTAAATTGCCAAAGTGTTGATCTGGAAATACATCACGGAGTTGGAAAAATTGCCACCGACACACCCAAAAGACATGTGGTCAATTTATGCCAATTGTGTCGACCACCTGGCGAGTGTTTGGGTCACCATGAGCACACATTTATTCCGTCCATGAAATATGTATTCGCTATGAAATTCTTTGCTTAAATGAAACTTAAAAAACCGTCTTTGTTAATGCTGATTTCATACCAAATATCGCTTTTGTAATCATCTTGTGTGTTAAGAAAACTGGATGTTTTAAACAATAGAAATATTCTACTCATGGGCCAGTAAGGCGACGCATTCTGCCTGCAGCACCAAACACACCCATAATATCCGGGTCTGCCTAGGTCCTCAGTATTCCGTGGTCATCGCAATGGTGTTTGGGTAATGGTCAAGGTCTTGGACTTGGCTGATTGTATTCCTTCGGATCCCGATGACTGGGTTCGTTTCTCATAGTTTCAACCACTTGGGCCCACTTGCACAAAGCGATCTTAGCTCTACGACTATTGTAAACCTATATTAAAGTATGGGAGTTACGATCATCTTAGCCCTTAGATCGCTTTGTGCAAGTGGGCACTGGACTGGATTAGACAGCCTCCGTGGTCTAGAGGTAGAGCGTCCGCCCGGGGTTCGATCCCCGCCGAGTGATGCCAAAAGACGTTAAAAGATGGTACTTGTTGTTACCCTGTCTGGCGCTCGGCATTAAGGGGCTAAAACAAGGACTGGTTGGCTCGGAGTCAGTATACTGTGTCTGAGTGGGGTATTCATGTTAAACTGAGGCATGGTATCTCAGTGTGCTAGCTAGCACTATAACATCAGCATCAGTCCGGACTAGCACAAGCAGCCACACGCACACACACACGTTCATGAACGTCGCTATACAAGTGCAATAATCTTGTACGCGACGTGAAACACCATTTCACCTCACCACACTCGATTATTTACAGTCCGCCCTGATATAACGGGATATTAACCCACTCGTGGTTAGTACATGTGATTAGTACATGTGAAGGAAACGGCAATGTTACTGACAGGAGATTCCTCAAATAAATTAAAATTAAACATTTCCCCCAGAGAAGTCATATTTACTTCCATGTGTCACTATATTTAGTGTGTCCCCATACAGATATGTTTTTCAGTTTTCGCTGTATCTTATTATACAAAAAAATGATTCATTAACCCTTCCCTCGCCCTATAGCCCATTAACACTTCCCTCGCCATATAGCCGATTATAAACATTTGGATGCCAATTTCTGTTATATATGTCTTAAAGGGGAACTCCCCAGTCCTGCGCTCATATCCAGTCTAGGTCGTGTCGTTGTGAGCCGTGCCTGTGAGACGTGTCTGTGTAATTGAGGTTATCGTTCCAGTTCCATTGCTATACAACATGTAACATGTTGCTGGCGGCACACCGGCGGGCTTTGAATGTCTTTGGGCACTTGTCACTAAACGGTGTGACCATAAGAGATACACCACCTTCAATGGTTCGGGACAATTTGTCAAAAATGAAAACAAATTTACTGAGTTTACTGAGAATACAATATTTGAAATGCCTGACTTCCTAAATGATACTATCTGTGTGAAATGTAGGGGTAAGATATTCAGGAGGTAGGTATCCCCATGTGCCCCAGTTGTGTTACCCTCCCAACTGACGTTTCGTTATGCATAATGACTCGGAATTTCTGCTCAAATTGCAAAAAAACAAAACAAGGGAATTTGGCCAAGAAGTCTTTCTTAAGCTTCAGGTATATCGATGATAATATATCGTCAAATAATTGTCAAATAGTCAATGCCCTTCAACTGATTTGCCGACCTAAACTATAACCAGTAGAGACCAGTGTGACAGACCCATCTGTTTAGGTCAAAGTGAAAATATAGTATCAACAATTGTTTGATAGCATTTCTTAGAAGTTGACGGATGTCAAAGTAGACACAATTTATGGATAACTTCTTTATTTTACTGTAATGGCGACATTTCGGTATACATCCTTATACCGTTGTCAAGCCAGACTGAAAAACGAACATGGTACAGAATATATATGGTAGGTGTTAACAGTAACAATCGTTGCATACATAAGAGATAATAACATGAGTAGCTTAAATAATAACAGAAGGGTAAAACTGTAACAACATGATGGACAGAGAACACATGATGAGGAAGCCAAGATTAACAGAGTTAGTATACATAGGTGGGGTGATTATTGCTTAATGAGTTGGGGGCGGTCGGGTAGCCTAGTGGTTAAAGCGTTCGTTCGATTGGGTACAATGTGTGAAGCCCATTTCTGGTGTCGCCCGCCGTGATATTGCTGGAATATTGCTAAAAGCGGCGTTAAACCATACTCACTCACTCACTTAATGAGTTGGGATAAAACATCTCTGTTGATTGATGGCTTGTGGCGGCGAATGTGGACTGCATCTGTTAGTTTTCTTTTAGTGAAATCAAGGAGGTTGTTGGAGAGGATTTGGACGTTGTCCCAGTTGATGTTGTGATTGGGGCAGTTGCTGATATGGTCCGCAATGGCTGATTTACTGTCTGATTTGATAGTTGAGGTTTTGAGCTCTTTGATTCTGGTGTTGATTGGGTGGAATGTTTCAGCATACAATGGATTGTCCACAGTTACAGTCAATTTTATAAACTACACTTACGTTATTGGAGTAGGCTCTTAGAAGTGTGTTGAGGGAGGTGGATCTGGTGAAGTAGGCGTCAATATTGCTGTTTGAGGACAAGATTGTATGACAGGAGGGATGACTTCCAACTTTTCAATATCCCACTTTCCCTTTTTGTCGAGCTGTTCAGCTCATGTGTCTGATGTCATTCACTGTATGCTGCATGTCGCTGTAACAGTCAGTGTTTTCTCTCATTACACAGAGACCATGTCTTTCACACATGCCACGTGATGCAATGTCTAGACTAAGACAGGAAATGGATCCCCAATTGGAGTAGTCTCCCTTTACGTTACGCTTTGTTTGTATTCTGACAAGTCGATACTCATGCCGAGGCTTATATAGATGACTTTTCAGATGCAATAGTGTTCACATAGCCGGTCTCTGTTATCAGTTGATTTCAATCGATTTTAACGCTCCACTTGCTTTTTATCCTGATTTGAGGGAGATTGGACTATGGTGGACCAGGCACATGTACGATGTATTACCACGCATCCGTGAAGATTCCGGGATAGAGTAGGTCTTCAGCAACCCATGCTTGCCATTAAGGGTGACTATGCTTGTAAATGGCGACTAACGGGATCGGGCGGTCAGGCAGGCTGGCTGGTTGATGCATGTCATCGATCCCAATTGCGTGGATCGATGCTCATGATAATTATCATTGGACTGTCTGGTCCAGACTCGATTATTTACAGACCTTCGTCATATAGCTGGAATATTGCTAAGTGCAGCGTTAAACAACAAACCAACCAACAACCACGCATCGTTGAGCCCTTTAGGCCACACAGACAAATGGACAAATGGATTGTATATTAACGTCTCACTTATTTACGTGTGGTATAAAATAAAACATTGATATTTTAATACGTTCTTTTAATAAATATACAGAATACAATAATGCTATAAAAAAACGAAGAGTAAAAGAAACAATATTCTCAGTTGATTTATCATACGTTTTATTTTCATTTTAAAATCTCATAAGTTAGCGATATCATATCCACACAATAGACTGTACTGTCGCTTATAGTCAGCACTCATAGAATACTTCTGCATGGTTTTATTTTGTAAAATATAAGTTGATTTGAAAGTTTAAAACTGCTGATTGGTATCTGAGACATCTTATTTTTGAAAATAAACAAATAGCTTTTTTCGGAACAAATGTACAAACTTTCAGATATGGTAGGAGTCATGATGCAAATTCACTTCTTGCCCCAGTCTTTATGGAACTAATTTATGTTTACACACAATTACAGCCACCGATTACTTTTCACACACTATTGTGGGTATGGGTGATGGTTAAATAGATGTTTAACAATAGGTCTTTTAATATTTAATTACATAAAAAGCAAACTCGGCATACTTTCTTTTGCCCCTCAGTATACATGGCATCATATAAACGCCATCGGTCGGTAAATAAGATCGATTTTCAGCGTCAGATTATAAAAGTAAATATATGTATTTTGTTTACAGATGTAACTCAGAAATTGTTTTCTTATCAGACCTAGCCGTGTGTCAGTCGCAATAAACTTTGTTGTCATTGATATTTGTTGACATTGTTCTTTTTAGTTATTTACCAGTGTTATTTAGTTATTTAGTGAGTGAGTGAGTGAGGTCTGTTCGTTTTTACCTTATTTCGTCTATTATTTATGACATCTGTCATTCCAAGGTATCTGGTAAGTACTAGAGACCCAGCGTGTATTTGAGACCCGGCCTGTATTATAGACTCAGCGTGTATTGGAGACCCGGCCTGTATTAGAGACCCGGCCTGTATTGGAGACCCGGCCTGTATTAGAAACCCAGCGTGGATTGGAGACCCGGCCTGTATTAGAGACAAAGTGCGTATTGGAGACCCGGCCTGTATTAGAGACCCAGCGTGTATTGGAGACCCGGCCTGTATTAGATACCCAGCGTGTATTGGAGACCCGGTCTGTATTAGAGACCCAATGTATATTAGAGACCCGGCCTGTATTAGATACCCAGTGTATATTAGAGACCCGGCCTTTATTAGAGACAAAGTGTGTATTAGAGACCCGGCCTGTATTAGAGACCCAGTGTATATTAGAGACCCGACCTGTATTGGAGACAAAGTGTGTATTAGAGACCCGGCCTGTATTAGAGACCCAGTGTATATTAGAGACCTGGCCTGTTTTAGAGACAAAGTGTGTATTAGAGACCTGGCCTGTATTAGAGACAAAGTGTGTATAAGAGACCCGGCCTGTAATAGAGACCCAGTGTATATTAGAGACCTGGCCTATATTAGAGACAAAGTGTGTATTAGAGACCCGGCCTGTATTAGAGACCCAGTGTATATTAGAGACCTGGCCTGTTTTAGAGACAAAGTGTGTATTAGAGACCTGGCCTGTATTAGAGACAAAGTGTGTATAAGAGACCCGGCCTGTAATAGAGACCCAGTGTATATTAGAGACCTGGCCTATATTAGAGACAAAGTGTGTATTAGAGACCTTGTGTGTATTAGAAACTCGGCCTGTATTAGAAACTCGGCCTGTATTAGAGACCCGGCCTGTATTAGAGACCAGATCCACGTTGGGGAACTGCACATATCACTCCGGGGATTAAAGTTACGACCAGACTGTAACAAATACACGACGCTGACCACGAGTCGTGTTCTCGCTGACAGTTATTCAAACAAGAAATCAATCTAACTACCATCGAGAAGACGTGGTCGTCAAGAAACCAGATGAGACGCTAGCCCAGGCTGGATATATCTATCTGCATTAAAGCCAGTTTCCGTGCTCCTCTGTGTATTCCGTGAAGGGAAGTGAACTCTAAGAATCCCTACGTAGGGAACGGCAAGCCCTCAGCTCAGTGTCGTAACTTCAATGAAAATCGATTCGAACTTTCGGATTCAAACGCTCACAGTTAGAATTAGATGTGTTTTAGATTGATTACTCTGATACTGGGGACAGTTTTACATTTTCAAATTTTATTTCAGTGATATAATTGTCGTAATGTGATTCATTATGCCTAATGTTTTTCCTTTCACTGAAAATAAGGAGAAATATATTCATGAAATATTGTTAATATGGGTTTATTATATGAAATAAGAATATTTCAAAGAAAGCCATGCATACAGTTCGGAAGAAGTCAAGGACAGATGTATCAATGACAAGACATGGCTACCAAACTGACAATCATAACCAACAGCTTGTTCACCGATGTACTGTCAAATACGATCTTAGGAGAAAAAAAACCTTTCCATCGAAAAATATAATCTTGACAAACAGCTTTGTTATTGCGTCAGTGACATACTTTAAAATGAGGCATTTAACAGAAAAACTGAGAAAACTGTTATTTCTTTCAATTATTCACTGGTAATGCGCATGTTTGTTGTGTGTGACGTGACTATGAAATGTCAAATTGGTTGATAAACAAAGTGACGCAAATATAACACGCGTTTATTACAAAAAATATATAATACTTCCGGGTTGTGGAATTTTTAGGCCAAGGCCCCTTATTTCATTTTTGCTGTGAGATTTAAGTCAGAACAAAGTTATAAGATAATATTTATTGCAGAAACGTTCCATTACGGGACAGATGCAATTTTAAAAGACAAGACATTATGATTTATATATACATATATACAGACATACATAACTTACATTCCTGTAGACACATACAAAAACAAAATAATCAATATTACATATTTTTATACATAAAATGTCAACGGTTGATTATGAAGGGGTATTTATTGTTTGAAATTATAGATGTGAAAACAAATGCAGTTGATATTGACTGCTTCATTATTTGACAGGATGTATTGAAATAATTTGTCTTCACGACTGTGGACATTTACATTTACATTTTGTCTGGATAGTTTTTCAAAGAGTATATTTCTTTCTCGAGTGTGTTTAATACAGTGAAGTAAGTAATGTTTTTCGTTATCAATGATTGAACATGTATGTATCAAGGCGCCAATGTGTAGGATTTTCCTTTATGTTCCCTGCAATAAACATGGGTGTGCTCATCTTAGGTATTCAATGTGATGTTGACTTAATTAGAATTAATATCTTTTGTCAATGTAACGTCATTTCCTGCTATGTCTTCTATTCTGTTTCTATTGAAAGTCAGATGACCACTGACCCCCGTCCTGACCTTTACGGATCGCGTGGCTTGACCAGGCACCTGGCCCTGGTTTAATTGGTCGAGATATTCCCATTACACGCCTGAAACGGACATGCTTTCCCTTGTCGACGGAGCGTGAATGACAAGCGTCAGTTACAAACAAAATGACATTTGAAGGACGGTGTTAGTTTCCGATTAATATGACCCAGTACTCTATGCTCATACTTACCCAACACCTGCTACTCAACCAACACATTCTCAGGGGGACCGAATATAGAATATTCATGAACACTTAACAGGATTCTAAGCGAATGGACGGGCACTTTCATGGCCAGGGATCAACTGGACATGGCTGGTTATCCAAGCTCTTGTATTAACGTTACTTTTGTAATTGGCGTCACAGGAAAAAAGTAAATTCGTGATCTCGCGTGGCATTGCCAAGGGTTACGGAAGGGGCGTGATTTGAATTTTAAAGGATGGTGCCAGAGGTTAACCAGAAACAGATTCCGTTAGGGATAAAAAAGACCGCCTCCGTGGTCTAGTGGTAGAGCGTCTGCCAGGAGAGCGGAAGGTCCGGGGTTCGATCCCCGACCGCGTCATATCAAAAGACGTTAAAAGATGGTACTTGTTGTTACCCTGTCTAAAAATGGGACTAAAACAAGGACTGGTCGGCCCGGGGTCAGTATACGGTGTCTGAGTGGGGTATTCATGTTAAATTGCGGCATGGTATCTCAGTGAGCTAGCACTATAAATCGGTACAAGCAGCCACACACACACACACGTGCATGTACGTCGCTATATAAGTGCTATATAATCTTTGACGCGACGTTAAACTCCATTTCACCTCACCTCACCTCACCCATTAGGGGTAAAAGATAAAAAAGCAGAGAAATTCATATGAATGGGTCACTGAAAATCAGTGACACCAGGTGTCAAGGTTAAGCTTGTCCTGTCCGAGTATATCACCCGCTACTCACACAGTTTGAACAAACCAGACAATCAGGTGATTGACCAGGAAGTCAAATGTATCCAAGTTGTCCGTTTTACGTTTGAATCGTTTCAACTATTATCTTACAGAGATGAAAGGGTTCAGGTTAACGTTGGTTCAAACTAGAACTTCCGCATTCACCCGACCCCACGTACCAGGACATTACAATATCGTGAAAACCTGCTCCTCTTGATGTTAATATGCCTGATAACAAGACATTTAAAAAAAAGAAAATTCAGTTCAAACTAATTCAAACTCGAGAGCAACCACAGTTAAGAAAACATTACATATTTGTACAATCGTGACTTTCATATAAGACATAATATTAATTATTTATTTTTTACCTGACTAAACAAACATTACTGTTCGTCCTGAACAAAATCATTCGTGTTGAATTAACAGAACAATAATGCAGAAAGTATTTTTTCTAAATGTTCATGACTAAGATAAGACGCTTTTTAGGAACTTTTCTTGTTTTTTAAAGGTTTCTTTTCATATGGGTTCAAATGTTCTATTAATATTTTAAACTCCAGTCTTCGCATGTGTGATAACGCGTGTACATTTAGTGGGTATAGTGAACATAAATCATATGATGCAAAGATGACACGCGGTCTGTCACGTGACCTGGATGACTTCTCACGAAACTGGGTGCCAGTCTGTTCTTTGGCAAGGTCACAACTGTCAAGTCGCGCTGTCAGGTATATTTAGAAATAGGAGTGCTAGCTTTGTAACGTTTCCTGCTGAAGATGATGTTTGAGAACATAGTTTTTTTAATCCCATTTCCGTAGTATATTCATTCCATATTTTTAATTTAATATCTCATGTGTTTTTTATGTTTCCCACGTGAATTTATTTGAATGTCTCTCGACATGGGATTTAAGTATATATTACGTCATATATTATTTATTTAATGCCCTGACATTTGTCTAAGTGAATATTAACTTATATATTATGTATTTAATATCCTTTCATTTGTAAAATCAATTTTGTCTTTTTCATATTACATAGTTAGTCACAAATATGATGTCCGATGCAATTTCCTATTTTGACTTGTACCTGTGTTTTTTAGGTGAATAATTGACTTGCCCTTGAATGTGTTTGTGACGGGGCAGGATACGCTCACCTGTTCGTCAACACCTGGTATCATCACTATTTGATAGTGATTCATAAACACATACTCATGATATAGTCGGAATCGTACTATCAACTCTGCTTTATGCAGAGATTTCTATCGGATATGGAAAGGGTTTTGTCACTTTATTTAAACACAACTGTCAACATTTTCATTTAGTTCGTTTATAAAACGGCAACAGATAGGAAAGTGATGTCATGTTTGGATACTTAAAAAAACGCTTTCTGAACAAGGGGAATATAACTCTGGCTATTTTAAAACAATAACGATGAAAATTCGTATGGACCAAACGTAAAGTATGAAATTCCAATTGATCAGTTTGGGATGACAAATGTAATGTGAAACTTGACTCATTCATAGTTTGTGTATGAAATTTTACGAGATGTATTTCCAGACACTAAATATTACATTCAGCTCAATGAAGTTTCATATATAGCATGCCATCACATTTCAACAATCGTAGCATTTTCTCATTTTCTCGAAGATGCAAAAAATACAGATCACCTATCCTTTTATTGCAACCAATTGACAATAAAGAGGAAATTACAGTAACTCTCCTGAATATGATTCATATGCTTAGAACAATATAACAAAACATAAAAATAACATTAAAAAATTAATAAAACAGTGACATCATGATAAAACAAGACTCTACTACAGCCACTGCGACCCATGAAGATCCGGGGTAGAATAGGTCTTCAGCAACCTATGCTTGTCGTAAGAGGCGACTAACGAGATCGGGTGGTCAGGCTCGCTGACTTGGTTGATGCATACCGTATCCCAATTGCGTGGATCGATGCTCATGATATCAATCACTGGCTTGTCCGGTCCAGACTTGATTATTTACAGACCGCCGTCATATAGCTGGAACATTGCTGAATGTGGCGTTAAACAAACAAACAAACAAACAAACAAACAGGGCCGTGGGGTATCTACGTTATAGGCACATATACAACTGTAAAAAGTAACCGAGAGAAAGAAAGGAGGAAGACGAGAGAAAGATGAGAGGGAAAATGGCATGATGGGGATGGAGAGAAAGATCCTCATCTATTGTTACGTCTCACTGTGAAAGGCAATGTTAGCAACCAACGCGACTTTTTATCTGCGCTAACGATCGTAACTGATTCAAGATATCAAGTTTGTTTCGCGATGACGATAATTTGAGTTGTATAACGATGTGTCAGCTTAATGTGTGAAGAAAGCCCGAAGTGATGCAGGTCTCAGACGTTGAAACCAACGAGCACGGGTTTGGTGCTGAGAAACCTAGAAACAAAATCGGCGCGAACCGGGATTCGAACCCACAATCATAGGTGTCTTGTGTGCCCAAGGGAAGCAACTCAGCACAGCGAATTGCAGCGGCTTGGACGACTGGACCACCCGTGCCCCCTACCTTCATGTGAATAAACACTTTGTATTAAATTGTAATATTCACCGAGACATGTCCACACCTCGAAAGTTTGTTTGGGGCGATTAAAATTGGCAAGCTTCTCTACTGATGTTAAAATAAGGCAAAACAATTATTTTTCACAAACAAACTTCACTAACGAACCTCTGTTATGCGCTACTCAAACCCTTCAGACATCCCCCAAATAACGTCCTCATTAAAGCCAATTCGTTTCATTTATTGATTCAGTCAATAAAAGCATTTTAATTGACATAATTTACTAGGTATTGATAATATTTAGGTATTCCGATATCAGGAAAATATATCTTTCGATTGTTGATATAATTACTTTGGAATCAACAATGCATCTTTGATGATGATGTAGGAGCTCTGTTTGATGCTGTACATGCAGTAAATAGCAAAGGTACACAATGGCAGCGATGTCAAGCTATAAAACACCTGTTAAGCTTTCACTTCACGTATTTGTTATGGGTTTGAAAAAAATACTTGGGGGCATGTGCCATGGGGATGAGTAATCGTTAGAGAGATGAAACCAAACTTTTAAAGTAAACTTTATCTTTGTCTCACATGTGTATAATGATATGCGTACATACCAAATACATAAATAATTATGAAAATATTTTTTAAAACATTTCTAACTGTAAATTATTACACTAAACATGTTTATGAAATTCGGCAACAATCATAACAGGGAGCCACGCCCTGTTCTAGTCTGGTTTACCTGCCCTAGAGCGCTTGCGGTCCTCGCCTGCAGCCGCTGGGATGCGGAGGGCAGGATACCAGTCTAACTCTATCCGACCTATTTCACTATACAGCATGTCGCTTCGGTGAAACGTTGACCCATCTCCGTGAAGCGAGTTCTGTCTGTCGAGAGGGTAGGAGACAGGCCTACAGCATATCGCTATGCGGGAAACGTTGACCCAGTTTCCGTATAGTTGAGATATGAGCACTTTTGGACAGTGTGATTAATTGACGTGTCAGGCGACAGGAGTAAACACCACGAGGGAGGTAACTCTCATGGAGAAGTATGGTTCATGGTTAAAAATAAGCAAACGCACTCACATTTCAATTTTAACAATATCTGCATGTCTCCATGTCCAGATAGATCTACTTCATTATAAAATAATATTGTAGCTATCACTTTAAAAAGATTAATTATGAACAAATATTAATAACTTTACCACTGTAGATATATCAATGTCAAAAGTATGATATATGCCACTATGATTGTGTCAGCTTAATACCCCATGTTCCTTGAAAACAATAACAGATGATTCAGGAAGCCATTGTTGTGAAAACAAATTACAAGTTTGTTTTCATAATACATGTATGTTTATTTTCTACTTCAATATTTACATAAATATTTAAAGTGAAATGTGCCGTATTCTCCTTCCTGATTGTGAAGGTGCCACATGCAGATTACAATTATTTTCATCTTCTGGGTTACACATGTCTACTTAATGAATTTTGCGCCGTGTTGATCCTCGGAATCAAAATTATCTTGTAGATGGGGGCGGTGGGGTAGCCTAGTGTTTAAAGCGTAGGCTCGTCACGCCGAAGACCCGGG